ACCCCTCCGTCGATCACCATGAGTAACAAGAGCATTCCCACTCCTAGATGCAGGATCTCCAACCAACAAATCCATCTTCTCTTTTGAGAATAGGGCATCGTATACCTCCTCAATGGATAACGTGTCACGACTATACAGAATAGTGTCACGAAATGATGAAAAAAAATTGGGTAGCGAACACAACAGGACCAAGGCTAGATCATCTTCATCATATTTTACCTCCAACGTCTCCAAATCTGCAACGATCTCCTTGAACACAGCAAGGTGGTCCTGCAGTGGCCCTCCTTCCTCCAAGCGATGAGAATACAACCTCTGCTTTAGAGTCATTTTGCTCGTCAAACTCTTTGTCATGCACAACTGCTCCAACTTGAGCCACAAAGCAGCCGCTGTCTTCTCCTTCAAAACATCTTAGAGCAAATTGTTTGGATAAATGAAGTTGGATTTGCGCTAAAGCCTTCCGATCCTTTCGTTGTTTCTCCTCCATAGACAAGTTTCTTGGCATCCTATCAAAACCCAGCAAAGCATCATCAAGATCCATCTGCGTCAACACAGCTCTCACCTTTACTTGCCACAGCGATAATCTTGTATTGCGATCCAATAGCAGAATTTCATACTTCAACGAATTCATCTCTGAAAAATCTCAATTAAATCAGGAAGAACTTGCAACCTGCAATAACCAAAATTGAAAACTACCGAACGTGCAAGGGGCAAAATAGTCCAGAACCACAATTTTGCCCAAAACTGAAACTGGATACCACCACAAGGTCCGTCTCATCGTCCGGAGAAAACTGCCTGAAGACACCGTCGTCGGAAAACGCCTCACGCGCCGCCACTCTCCTCGCCGGAGTTTCACCACCGGCGACTGGCCGGAAATGCGCCGGTGACCTGTGACCCTTTCTGGACCGTCTCTGTCTGTTGAGTCCATTGGTGGTGTTCTTTTCTCCAAACTCTTTTTGGTTTGACCAAAAAACGCAAAAACAGATCCGACAGAAAATAGAAAAATTGGACAGATTCGTTTTCTGATTTTTTCAGTAATTTTCTGACGATTTTCCGATCAATTTCAGGCCAAAAATCCACCAATAACCCCGCTCTGATACTACTTGTTGGTACCGATTGACCAATAATGCAGGAATTGAGATTTAATGAATTCCACTTGTTGTAATTGAAGTATTGAACAAGATCACAAATAACCCAAGAACAAGATTAAAGTAAGTAAAAGAAATATAAGAACTGACAGAGGAACGCTGTTATTTTATTCCATCAATGAAAGGAGAGAATTACAACTGGATAGCAATAATGTTTCGACAATACTGAAAGAGGAGCCTTGTATTTATAATATAAAATCTAGCCCTAAAAGAGTCCCAAAAAAAGTAAGAAATCTAATGCAATTTAGACTCCTATTTGAGTCACACTTCTAACATTCACGTGGCTTCATTTCCAGTAAAAGCATTTATTTTGACATTTTCTCATCTGCGCTATATTAGGTGGGGCTCTGGATTTTCGGAGGAGTCCTGAATGTGGATGCCGTTACTACTGCAATTTTCGGATTATCTGTCCTCCTTATCACTGGGGTTGTAACGTGAAAGGAGTGCTTAGCTGAGGCAGTTGCTTGGGACTCATTGCAATGGCTGGATATCTGAACAAATATGGTCTCATCTCCTGGTTTAGCCAAATCGTGGTTAAGGTTTGCTTCTGCATTCCATACCTTCTCTAAATTATTTGAAGTGCTGGTGCATTTCGAGTTTTCTATTATTTTGGTAAAGAAATATTGTGATCTTGACTCCCTTGTGTTTGTTACTGGCATAAAGACTTTCATGCTATATTAATAATGATTGCTCCATTAAAGGCCAACATGGCCATAAGGTAGATATAGTGGAAGTGTAATGATAATTGATGTCTCATCGTACTATAATGGATAAGATAAGAAATGAGAATGAGTGACATAGGACAATAAATCAAGGGGTCCACTGCCAACTAGAGACCGATGATGATCATGATGAATAATCTTACCCAATGAGATTATACACCACCAAGTAGATTTGGCACTAATTGAGAATAAATTAAGGGAAGGACGACTTAAGTGGTTGGGATTCCGGTAAAATGGGTTGGGAATATAGAGGTGGATCAAAATTAACATGGCATGAAGAAGTTGCTAAGAATTTGACTATATTGTCCTTCTAATCATTGCATCGAGTGATCAAATAAAGTGGACAAAAAGTATTCTTATAATTGACCGCTAATTCATTGGAATATGGTTAAAGTATATTGTTGTTTTTGTTGAGAAACTACTAAGTACTTATGGAGTTCCTCGTTTACCTCTATTGTATTAAAAGACATACAAGTGAGACAAAGTCCTGATTTTCGTAACTAATATGTCCTATGAACTTCGAGTTATTCACTTGAGACCTCAATATTACCTTTCTAAATCAATTTCATTGCGTTTTATATTAACTGTTTTCTTTTCTACCATAAACAAAGGAAAAGAGACCTCAGATGGCTGATCATTCCATTTCATGATTGTTAGTTTTACTTGTTTATTTCCTTTTTTGGCAGTTTATTGGCTGATTGGGTCTTTACGGCAGTTATCTTTCGGCATTCTTGTTCTTCTTTACTTCTTTTCTATTCTCACTATTTCTTTGTGAGTAGGGCTGCTCACATTGGTGCCATGTTTACAGCATTCTTATCCATAGCTAGTGCTCTGGGTACACCATCATACCCCGGAGCAATTGTTCTCTCCTTCCTTTCTAATCTTATGGGTGGCATCACCCATTATGGTATTGGACCAGCACCCGTGTTCTATAGCGCTGGCTATCTGCCGCTAGCGAAATGTTGGGGCTACGGATTCCTGATCTCCGTTGTCAATCTTATTATTTGGCTCGAAGTTGGAGGTGCCTGGTGGAAGTTTATTAGCTTGTGGTAGACGTCCGATTGGCCACAATTGGATTTAACTAAACAAAATATGGATACAATTCTCGATGATGAATTTTTCAAGAACTTGAAGTTGACATCTTCGTTGCAAAGAATAGCTCGGAATTGATGAAGAGTCTTCTTCTAGGTTGATCTCAATTGATCTCTAATTTTTGGTTTCTTATTTTGATCTAAATTTGGTCTTTACATAGAGGCTAAAATGATTTGAAAGTCGTGCCCATCAAATACCCAAAATACTGTTGAAGTAAGAAATAAAAACCAGATTTTTAATTCTCAGTAAGAGTAGGGGACACCCACTCGAAGCATTGGAGTGGACAGAGGGTAGCCAACAACCCCCCTTATTTTCACCAGGGACGATCGCCCTCTCCATCTTCTGCTCCCATTAAATTTGGTCCCCAGTTTGCTATTTCATTACAGTTTTAGTCCCTTAGCTCAAGTTCTCGTATGCTTTGGTCCTTCTATCTTTAAATTATCCCAATTAGGTAATTGCTTCCAAACTGATCCTTCATCTTCTAAAGCCATCCACTTTGGTCCTCCAAGTTAATCCTCTAGAATATTGAGAATGTTCAATTTGCTCTCCAAACTTCTCCAGATATTGAATTCAGTTCCTGAAATTGTGTATTCATCCAATTGACACTTTCATAGCTTTCAATCAAGTTTGAACTTCTCGATGTCTCTTCAATTGCATCATTTTATCTCCAATTATGCTCCAATCACCTGTTTTTTGCTCAATTCTCCTCCAAATCAAAGGTTTCATCTATGAAGGTATTTTATATAATCAATCAAGTATAAATATGCTCAATTTATTCATATTATGCAAGTTTGAAATCCTAAATAAACGTATAAAACTCACTCATCAATTGGATTGGAAGGGCGTCGACCATTGACAACATGATGTTTCCTTCGAGGGAAAAAAAAAGGATGGTTTAGAAGGTTCAAGGCTATCAGGCTTGGTCAAGAAATTAAAAATGTACTCACAATTCAATGCACGTAAATAATATTTAGTAGTTTTCGACAAAACTTTTGATAAAAATTTTGACAGATCTTGATATAAGTTGTTAGAATTTATACTCCACCCTTTCCATAAAGATATGCTTACTTTTCATTTTCGTCTGTTCCAAATTATAGGTCTTTTTTTTGTTGATAGTATAATTGATTTCTTAATTTTTTAATATAGTCATATTTAATGTGTATTGTTATTGACAAATATGAATTACTCATATTCAAACAATTACTCAATATAGGGATATATTAAAAAAATAAAAAATAAATGTATTTTCAACGATATTTAATTATATTTTTTTAATGTAAAAATAAAAATAAGCCTTATTTATGGGACAGAAGGAATAGTTGAAAAATTAATAAAGATTATAAATTCATTTAATGCATAATTAAAATTACAGTTTGACCAATTGAAATAATGAAATGCAAACATTTAGTTTGGTGCACTACATTCCAAAATCTCACCAATGCTTCACCTTAATTTGAACCTATTCATTTAAATGATTTGGATGCATGTATCACAAAAAGGATACTAAGATATTTAAATAAAATAAAATAAAAATACACAGCAAAATGATCGAATTTAAACAAAACCCGAATAATATAAATAATATGTTTAACATTGTTTTAGCCTAACGTAGCATCTAAAATTAGTATTTCACTCTGAAAAAAAATAAAATAAAAATAAATCATCAAAATACATCAAACACATAGGGATGACAATTGAACAAGTCGAGTCGACTCACCCCATAGACATTCGAGCTCGACTTGTGTCCAAAATCTTAGGATCATCTTGACCCTTTGGCTCATGGACCTCACAAGCTGAGGTGCCCACGACCCCAAAGGATCCGATTTGAATTATCCAAAAGTCTACTCATTTTTAAAAAAAAATAATTTAATAAAATAATTCAAACGAGCCTACTACTGAAAAAATGTGAGGTCGACTTAACCAATGACTCTTCTTGGAAAGAGCCCGAGCCGCTTACGGGCTGGATCTGATTGACACCCCTACAAATACATTTGATGAAAGAATAACTTAAAATCAATTTTTACTCTTCCAAACACAGATCTAAAACATTCACTTCTGTATACATCACTTTCCTACTTGTAAATGTTGCAGAATAGCATACTCAATGCTGTAACTCCCGAGGCGGCCCCACTATCCCCATCCCAACATAAACAAGGCCTCACCTAACCAGTTTGCGGCAGGGCTTTCGAATTTTACCTATTTTCTCAGTCGCATAGATAATCTCCATCCCCATTCTTCAATCGAGCCCCGTTACAGCCGAAAAAATGCCATCTTCTGCTTCATCAAGCCGCCAGAACCACGCGGAACAGTTGATTGCCCGCTTGAACTCCGTAGAAACTCCCCCCGAGTCCAAACTCCAGGACTTGCGGAATATGAAGAATCAAATAATCGGAAGCCGTACAAAAAAGCTCGATTATTTGAGCCTCGGAGCCGTGCCCTGCATCGTATCAATTTTATCCATCGTTGTAGCTTCCATGCACAGCGGAGGTGGCGGTGACGAGCTACTTGAGCTCATCGCGATTCAAGCTGCAGCAATAATCGGGAGCTTTGCATGCAGGTTGGAATCCGGTGTTGAGGCCGTTTTGGAAGCCGGAGCTTGTGCTTTTTTGATGATTCTCATTACTCATCAAAACGAGAAGGTAATTTTTTTTTTCTTTTTTTTTTGCCTGTATGTTTTTGGAAAAAATTGGTGATTTTAGTTCAGCCGAAAAAATGCCATCTTCTGCTTCATCAAGCCGCCAGAACCACGCGGAACAGTTGATTGCCCGCTTGAACTCCGTAGAAACTCCCCCCGAGTCCAAACTCCAGGACTTGCGGAATATGAAGAATCAAATAATCGGAAGCCGTACAAAAAAACTCGATTATTTGAGCCTCGGAGCCGTGCCCTGCATCGTATCAATTTTATCCATCGTTGTAGCTTCCATGCACAGCGGAGGTGGCGGTGACGAGCTACTTGAGCTCATCGCGATTCAAGCTGCAGCAATAATCGGGAGCTTTGCATGCAGGTTGGAATCCGGTGTTGAGGCCGTTTTGGAAGCCGGAGCTTGTGCTTTTTTGATGATTCTCATTACTCATCAAAACGAGAAGGTAAATTTTTTTTTTCCTTTTTTTCTTTGCCTGTATGTTTTTTGGAAAAAAAAATTGGTGATGTTAGTCGTGTTTAGTGCCTGATGGAGTTTCGGGCACCAGTTATGGGCCTTTTTTAAAGGATCGGTTTGAGTAATTGAGTGTTTATAAGTGAATCGATTTGGAGTGTATTTAGACGTAGCGATTATTAAAATAGTCCAATTCATATTTGGTAGTTTATTATTAATTGGTTGTGAAATTTTTTTAAAAGAACAAAATTGTGTGTGTGTTCAATTTATAATTTCCTGAACGAATTTTTTTTACTTATACATTAGTTATTTTTTCACTTAAAAGTTAATATGTAGTATAAAAAATAAATATTTAATTAGAATTAGAATTTTAAGGTGGTATCTTTCTTTCACTTATAAGTAAATTTCACATTTATAAGTTAATTTTGTAATTTTAAATAATTTTTACACATAAGTGAATTTTTTTTACTTATAAATAATTTTTTTATATTATATTAGTGAACTTTTGTCTTATTAGTACTAAATTTACTTTATAAATAATTTTTTACACAAAAATGAATTTTATCTTATAAATAATTTTTTACTTATAAGTAAATTTTTTAATTATAAAATAATTTTTTTGCATATAAATAATCTTTTTAGTTAATGTATTTTTACTTACATAATACTGTTGAGCAAAATATGTTGGTTGAAAATAATTATTTTATAAAGAGTAAAATTAGAAGAGAATTTAAGAAATGGTCAAAACCAATTGATTTGGTGGTTGAGAGAAACAGTCAAAATTATACTCCACCGATTTTGAGTGGTTTTTAAACTGTTCAAAACTGGTGCAAGAAAAAACTGGTAAGCACTTATCTCAACCCTTTGTAAATAATACCACATGAAACTGATCAAAACCAATGAAAAAATAACTCCCAAGCAGGCCTAGGTAATGAAACCCCGGCCTAATGCCCATTAAAGAGAGAATTTTTTGTTTGGGGGGGGGGGGGGGGGTTTTTGGAAAT